ACCACATCTCCAAGAAATACTGAAAGGAGGTTACACATAAAAACTGAAGAGGATCATACACAAAAAACAAATAAATAAATAGATTGACCCACAAAAATTAGGAATAAAATGGCAATAATCACTTTAAAATTAAATGGACTGAACACATCAATTAAAAGACATAGACCAGGGAACTACCACCAGGTTAGAACAGGGGTACAGCTAAAGAGAGCAGAGGAGGAAACTACAAGAGGCCTCACCTATACCTCTATCCATAAGCCACAGCGGCTCAGACACTAGGCAGACACTCCCACACCTCAGCAAGAGAAATCATAAGTCATGTTCACCAGCACCAGTGGTATAGGGGCACTACGAAGAGAGCAAAGCCGAAGGCTAACAATGGCAAGAGAGAAAAATACAAGTGATCAAGCAGGCCCTCCTGGGAACAATACACCACAGAAAGAAAGTCAACCACCAGAACCAAATAATATGGACACAGAGAAGGAAGGAAAAAATACTACCAAATGTCAAACAGACCAATTACAAGGAGTGAAACTGAAACAGTAATCAAAACCCTCCCAAAAAACAAAAGCCCAGCATCAGACGGCTTCACAAATGAATTTGATCAAACATCCAGAAATGAGCTAGTGCCTATCCTACACAAACTCTTTCAAAAAATTGAGAAAGAAGGAATACTACCAAATATAATCTATGAAGCCAATATTACACTAAAGCAAAACCAAACAAAGACAACACACAAAAAAAGAAAACTACAGGCCAATCTCCCTAATGAACACTGATGCAAAAATCCTCAATAAAATCCTTGCCAACAGAATCCAGCAATGCATTGAAAGCATAATGAACCACAGCCAAGTGGAATTTATTCCAGGGGCACAAGGATGGTTCAACATCTGAAAATAAATTAACACATGAACAGTAAGAAAAATAAAAACCATATGATCACATCAATAGATGCTGAGAAAGCATTCAACAAAGTTTAACATTTGTTTATGACTAAGGCCCTTGAAATTCCCAGGATAGAAGGAATGCACCTTAACATAATAAAAGCCATATACAACACACCCACAACCAATATCATTCTCAAAGGTGAAAAGCTGAAAGCCTTTCCCTTAAGATCTGGAACAAGACAAGGATGTCCACTCTCACCACTGCTTTATAATATAATATTTGAAGTCCTAGCCAGAGCAATAAGACAAGAGAAAGACATACAAGGAATCCAAATATGGAAGGAAGAGGTAAAACTATCACTACTTGCAGACAACATGATAATATACATAGAGAACCCTACAACTCCACAGAAAAACCAATCAAAATAATCAACCAGTTAGTAAAGTAGCAGGATACAAAATCTACACACAAAAATCAGTAGCCTTCCTATATACAAACAATCACTCTGAAGAGGACAAAATCAAGAATACCATCCCTTTTATAATTGAAACAAAAAGAGTCAAATACTTGGGAATAAACCTAACAAAAGTGGTAAAGGACCTATAGAAAGAAATTATAAAGCATTGTTAAAAGAAATACAAGAAGACACAATGAAATGGAAAGACATTTCCTGCTCATGGATTGGAAGAAGTAATATTATTAAAATGGTCACTTTATCAAAAGGAATTTACAAATTCAATGCAATCCCCATAAAAATCTCAATGATAGTCTTCAAGATGTAGAACAAATATTGATGAAATTCATATGGTGCCACAAAAAACCTTGAAGAGCCAAAGCTCTCCTGATTAAAAAGAAGGATAATGGAGGCATCACACGCCCAGATTTCAAACTATACTACAAAGCCATAATAATTGAAAAAGTATGGTACTGGAACAAAAACAGACACACAGATAAACAGAATTGAATAAAAAAAACAGAAATAAAGCCACACATATATGGATGGCTAATCTTTGACAAAGGAGCAAAGAATATGCAATGGAACAAGGACAGTCTGTTCAATAAATTGTGCTGGGAAAACTGGACCACCACATGCAAAAGAATGAAATGGGACTACTACCTCACATCATGCACAAAAACCAACCCAAAATGAGTAAAAGAATTGAACATAAGACCTGAAACTATAAAATATATAGAGGAAAATATAGGTAAAACACTACACAACATACGTCTCAGTAACATCTTTTTTTTTTTAGATTTATTTATACAAGCATTGGGTACAGTCAGAAGCACGGGAGGGTGAGAGAATTCACCAGAGCCAGAGTGGGGAGCAGAGCAGGCAGACTGACGGAAGTACACTGCTGAGGGGAGCAGCGGGCGACAGGAAAGGTCTGCGCGCCATGTGGGACCCTTGCCCGGTGGCTGGGCATCAAACTGGCGCTGCAGAGGCTGCAGGGAGCTTCGTAACCCAGTGCTCAACCACTGTGCCACCGGGGAGGCCCTCAGTAACATCTTCAAAGACTCATCCCCCAAAGCAAAGAAAGTCAAGGAAAAGATAAGGAGCTGGGATTACATCAACCTAAAAACTTCTGTACAGCAAAAGAGCTATTAACCAAAACGAAGAGACACCCTATTGAGTGGAAGAAATTTTTTGCACTCCATACAACTGATAAGGAACTGATCACAAAGATCTACAGTGAGCTCACACGACTCAACACAGATAAAGTTAACAATCTAGTCAAAAAATGGGCAGAAGAACTAAACAGACACTTCTCCAAAGAGGAAATGCAAATGGCCAACATGTATATGGAAAAATGTTCAATGTCACTTATAATCAGGGAAATGCAAATCAAAACCACCATGAGATACCAGTGAGAATGGCACATATTAAAAAAACAGGAAACAACAAATGTTGGCGAGGATGTAGAGAAAAAGGAACTCTCCTGCACTGTTGGTGGGAATGCAAACTGGTCCTACCACTATGGAAAGCTGTGTGTAAGTTTCTCAAACTACTAAAAATGGACATACCATATGACCCAGTAATTTTATTCCTAGGAATCTACCCAAAGGACACAAAAACACTAATAAAAAAGATACCTGCACCCCTATATTTATTGCAGCACTATTTACAATAGGTAACAACCCAAATGCCCAAAAACAGATGACTGGATCAAGGAGATGTGGTATATATCCACAATGGAATACTATTCAGGAATCAAAAAGATAAACTCATGCCATTCACAGCATTATGAATGGAGCTAGAAGAGAATAAGGGATAAGTCAGAAGGAAAAAGAATAATATTGGGTGGTTTCACTTATAGGAGGACTATAGGGGAGCCAAATAAGGAATCAGGAAGAAATAATAATAAGTAAACAAACAAAACTAGCAGGCAACTATAAATTAGAGATACTCTGCAGGGAAGGGGAGTGAGAGGGATCAAAACAGGGGAGGGAAGAGCACAAGGGACTACAGCAATGGTTCACGGGTGAATTGGTGGTTGGAATTTTATGGGGAATACACCTGAAAGCTGAAAGTATACAAACATACATTGTACAAAAAATGAGCAATAATGTAAAATACATAAATATAAATAAAACATTTAAAAATATATAGAATATTTAATTGGATCAGAAAACAGAATCCAACCTTGTTCTGTCTTCAGGACACACATCTGAACTCCAAATACAAAAATAGACTCAAAGTAAAGGGTTGGAAAACAATCCAGCAAGCAAATGGGACTCTAAATAAGGCAGGGACAGCCATACTTATTTCAGGCAAAATACATCTCCATTTAAAAAAGGTAACAAGAGACAGGGAGGGATACTATATAATGATTAGGGGACTATATACATCAAGAAGACATAACAATCATCAGTGTACATGCACCAAATTTAGGAGCACCAAAATACATAAAGCAACTTCAATTAACTCTAAAGATGGACATTAAAAAAAACACATTTGTGGTAAGAGACGTCATACCACACTCTCACCAATGGACAGATCAAATCGACAAAAAATAAACATGGATACAACAGCCTTAAATAGAGAATTAGATCCAAGAGACTCATACAGGGCACTCTACCCCAAAAAGCAGAACACACATTTTTCTCAAGTACATATGGGACATTCTCCAGAACAGAGCACATCCTGGGATGTAAAGAAAATCAACAAATTGAAGAAGATTGAAATCATGCCCAGCATCTTCTCAGGCCATAAAGGTATCAAACCAGAAATCAGCTATCAAAGAAAGGAGGAACACCTTTTAATATATGGAGAGTGACCAACATGCTACTGAAAGACCACAACCATCTAAAACTTACGGGATGCAGCAAAAGCAGTATATAGCACTACAAGCTCACTTCAAGATATAAGAAAGAGCTCAAATAAATAACTCTCTCTCTCAACTTGAGGAATTAGAGTAAGAAAAACAAACAAATCCAAAAGCCAGTAGAAGGAAAACAATAAACAACAAAGCAGACGTAAGTTTTATAGAAATTAAAAACAGTCCAATAGATCAATGAAACCAAAAGCTGGTTCAATGAAAAAAAAATAGACAAACCTCTAGCAAGGCTCACCAGGAAAATAAGGGAGAGGTCTCAAATAAATAGAATCAGAAACAAAAGAGGAGAAATCACAAGAGATACTGCAGAAATTCAGAGTGTAATTAGAGAGTAGTATGAACATCTAAATGCAAAAAAATTCAATAGCCTAGAAGAGATTGACAAATTCTTAGAATTATACATTCATCCAAGACAGAGTACAGAAGAAATAGAAACCCTGAAAAAATCAATCACAAGCAAGGAAATTGAAACAGAAATCAAAACTCTCCCAAAAAACAAAAGCCCAGGTCCAGATGGCTTCAAAGTGAGTTCCACCAAACCTTCAAAGATGAACTAATACCTAGCTTGCTCAAATTCTTTCAAAACATTGAAAAATAAGGAATGCGTCCAAATACTTTTTATGAGGCCAACATAAGTCTAATACCAAAACCAAACAAAGATAACACACAAAAAAGAAAACTACAAACCAATCTCCCTAATCAATACAGAAACAAAAATCCTTAATAAAATCCTAGCAAACCAAATCCAACAATGCATTAAAAGGCTCATACGTCATGACCAAGTGGGATTCGTACCATGAAAAGGATGATTCAAAATCCAAAAATCAATCAAATTTATCTCAATTCACAGATGACATGATCAATGTAATTCACCACATTAACAAAAAACAATTTAAAAACCATATAATCATGCCAACAAATGCTGAGAAAGCATTCGACAAGATCCAATATTCATTTATGATGAAAACCCTCAAAAAATGGGAATACACAGAACATACTTTAACATAATAGAAGCCATTCACCTGCTCATGGGTTGGCAGAATCAACACTGTGAAAGTGGCCATTTTGCCCAAAGTAATATACAGATTCAATGTAATCCCAATAAAAATATCAATGACATATTTGAAGGAACTGGTGCAAATATTACTTAAATTCATATGGAATCATAAATGACCAAAATAGCAAAAGCAATCTCAACAAAGAAAGAGAATGGAGGTATTACACTTCTAGACTTCAAGCTGTATTACAAAGCCATAAAAATTAAAACAGCTTAGTACTAGAACAAAAAAGAGTAGAATAGAATAGACTATTCCAAACCAATGGAATAGAATTGAGATCCCCAAAATAAATCCATATATACATATACAGTTAATTTATAATAAAAAATATATACACTGTAACAAGGATAGCCCCTCAATAAATGATGTTGGGAAAACTAGACAGTTGCATGCAAAATAATGAAACTAGACCAGGAGCTTACTCCATACACTAAAATCTACTCAAAATGGATCAAAGACTTGGATGTAAACCTGAAACCATAAAATACATAAAAACATAGGCAAAACTTTTATGACATAAGCTTTAATGATGCTTTTAGGGAGTCATCCCCAACAACAAGGAAAACAAAAGAGGACATAAACAGTTGGGACTTTATCAAGCTGAAAAGCTTCTGTATAGTGAAAGAAACCATAACTAAAACAAAAAGACACTCAATTGAATGAGAGAAATATTTGCATACCATACATCTGACAAAGGACTGATATGAATGATACACACAAGAACTCATAAAACCACACAAAAACAAAAGAAATAACCCAATTAAAAAATGGGTGAAAGAACTAAACAGACACATCTCCAACAAGACATCTAACAGCCAACAGACACATGAAAAAATGTTCACAATCAGTTGTTATTAGAAAATTTCAAATCAAGACTACAATGTAAGAATGGCCCATATAGAAAAGACCAGAAACAAGTATTGGTAAGGATGTGGAGAAAAGGAAACTCCCCTACACTGCTGGTGGAAATGCAAACCAGTCCTGCCTTTATGGAAAGCAGTATAAAGGTGTCTCAAAACATCAAAATTGAAGGTGCCATTCAACCCAGTAATTCCACTCCTAGACATCTATCCAAAAAATTCAAAAACACTAATTCAAAAGGAAACTGCACTCCCATGTTTATTGCAGTGCTATTTAGTATAGCTAATTTACAGAAACAACCTAAGTGCCCCAGAAGAGATGAGAGAATGAACAAGATGTGGCACACATACACACACATAATGGAATATTACTGAACAATCAAAAAAAAAAACTCATGCCATTTGTGGTGACATGGATGGAGCTGAAGGGATCATGCTAAGTGAAATAAGTCAGAAGGTGAAAGGTAAGTACTGTATGATGACACTAATATGTGGAATATAAAGTAATTAAACTGATAGATTAAGACAAGCTTAAAAACAAACTCTTGTCAACTGACTACAGAATTGAAGCACCAAGGGAGGGAAGGAAGCACAATGATCTATCGTGGTGGAATATGAGTTGGTGGTGGGTGCACTCTGGTGGTAATACCTGCCAGGGGTATCCCAATATTACTTTAATTTAAAAAAATAAAATTTTAAAATAAAAATCATAGTTAAGCAAAACACATCATTTTGTACATCTTATTATATTTAATCTTGTACATTCAACAAACATGGGAGAGAGAAAAGATACGGAGAATGAGCTACGCATGCACCCAAAATGGAGATGGGAAGACTGGGTTCAAATAAATTGGAAACTTTTAAAATTATTCAGCACCCATGCGCAAACAATCAGATTAGGACTACAGATGTTGTGGAAGCTTTTCTTCAAATTATCTTCTTGAGCTCTTCAGACTCTGCAGAAATCCTTGTCTCCTAAATTTACTCAAGTCGTCCCAAACACCATGTGGACCTGACTTCAATACCTCTATCTAGGAAAGGAGCATTTGTAATGACTAAAATGATTTTGGGTAAAGGAGCATTCAAAGTTAAAGTATACAAAAGACTTTTTCCTTTAGTAAAAAGAATTTCACCAACAGAATTCACACTAGAACCTCTTTCAAGTATCAAGAAATTAAACTCCCAAGTTCAAATAATTAAAGAGTTGCCTCATCTCCCCTTTGTCTATAGTAGATTCATGCTTCCCACTTTCCTCTATTAACCCTCCACCTCAAAGATTCATAAAATGTTAAGGCTAAGAGATCTTCTTATCAACCTCCATTCTCCAAGTAGGGATTTTTGTGTCTATACCTATGCCTTATCACCATAGTTGAACAAACTCTGCTGCACCCTCCTTCTCCAGAAACCCCTCTCTCACAACTGTGAAACTTGCCAGCCAAACTCAGAACTCAGACCACTTCTTCCCAAATCCAGGAGGTAGGGGTCATGTTCCAAGAACCACCCCCATATATGCCTGAAATCACAACTGTACTGAGCCCTATATAGTGTACTCCTATACATAAACACCTATGATAAAGTTTAATTTAGAAAGCAGGCACAGTAAGATTAATAACTAAGAAATAACAAAGAACAATTATAACAATGTACTATTAAAAAGTTATGTAACTGTGATCTCCCTCTCATAACTTACTGTACAAACTTTCAGACCAAGTTTGCGCAGGAAGCAAAACCAGGGATAAGAAAGATTACTATACTTTCTTCATCACACCCAAATCAGTAGGTGATGCAACACAGACTAGATGCTCCTTTTCAACTGACTGATGATTCCTTGCTAGCAGCAGGCCCTTTGGGTATGGCAATCATTAATTTCTAAGAGTTGTGATCTGAAATAGTCTCTACAAACCACAATTTCTGGTTTGTACAAACTGACATTAAGATTGAGGGAGGGAGTGGTCAGGTAGAAAGGGGAAAAAGCTTTTTATCTCTTTTTCTACCTATCTCAGTGCTAGCCCATATGACAAGGCTCTCACTATGGTCTTACACTGATTGTGAATGAGCAGAGACATCTCAGGGATAAAAGATGGTGGTTGCCAAGTCTCCCAGTGCAGTCTCTGCAACTTCCAAAATAGAAGAGCAGTGACTTGGCACTGGGATGTGTATGTGTGACAAAATATTACTGTATAAATTATTTGGGGATTATACACTGCTTAGGATTAGCTGCACCTCAGCACATTTCCATCAGAATTTGATAAGTGGTGAAAAATAGACAAAGCTAGCTGCCTAATATCCACCACAAGCAAGGACAATTAGAAAGCATTCGTTTTTGTTCTGTTCACACTTCTATTCTCAAAGCTAACCATATGCTTTCTAGGTGCTGGCTTCACTACCCAATTGGTACCTACTAGCATGCAAAATGATTGTTATTTTTAAAAACAATTCATAAATGTTTGCATTTCAGATTTACCTTTTATATCTCATTTCATATCAGGCAGCTAGGTTCAGCCCATATGTAACTGTATTATAAATTCTGATTAAGTTCAAAGGTCTAAGAAACAAATATAGGCCTACACAGTCGAAGTTTAAAGAAAATGTAAAGGCTACTGGAGTAGGGGCCTCCCCAGTGGCGCAGCAGTTGAGCGCTGAGTTGCGAAGCTGCCCACAGCCTCTACAGCGCCGGTTCAATCCCCGGCCACCTGGTGAGGGTCCCACATGGCGCGCAGACCTCTCCTGCCTCCCACTGCTCCCCTCAGTGGTGTACTTCGTCAGTCTGCCTGCTCTGCTCTCTGCTCTGACTCTGGTGAATTCTCTCACCCTCCCGTGCTTCTGACTGTACCCAGTGCTTGTATAAATAAATAAATAAATCCTTTTTTAAAAAAAAAGGCTACTGGAGTAGGAGTTGGGAGAACCCAACTCCATCTAATTCATGTAGCAACTTTAAGCAAGGCACCCTCTCTAAGCTCTCATTTTCTGGGCATATCACTACTTGTCCTACTTGTATTATAGAGGAGTTGGGAGTGTCAAAGAAATGAGTTTCTGAATGGCTATGAAAAATATTACGCTCTGCACAAAGCAGAAGCATTATATTTCCCTTAGAGGTCTTCATTCTTACACAGATTCATTTATTCATTCAATGTCAAAAAGCCTGCGTACTAGGTACTATCACAGTCTCCAGAAGAGGAACTGCTTTTGATTTCTCTTAGATTTTGTAATAAAATGTTGTGAAAGGGTAAGGAGAATGGGAGGAGGTAGCTCAAGTAATGGGGAAAAAAAAGGTTTTCAGAAGATAGCAATGCGGAGAGACAGAAGTCAATAATTCTGTCACCTGAGAAATGTCTGAAGAATGGGTGAGAAATGTTTAGTCTGGAGAGGACTAGAGGGGGTAATGATGGCTGTTTCCAGAAAACTGAAGGAGCTATCACATGTAAGAGAGATTAAATTGCATATGTGGAAGAAGACAGAACAAAAATCAACCAAGCTCAAAAGAAAAAAAAAATTAACAATGGAGGTATGTCAAAGGAATTCAATGAAAAATGTTCCCACTGACCAAAGCTGGAACAATTCAAGGGAAAAAAATAAATTACTATTGGACCATACACCAAAATTTAAAATAATTTTCATGAGCCCATACAGATATAAATGATGGAATAAATACAGAAAGAGAACAGACACATTTCCAGTGCACAAGAATTCCAAATAATTTATGTAAGTACTCCATCCTCAAGGAAGTGTTGTGTAACTCCCCAATCTTAAAGTATGTAGTTTCCCAAAGTGATTCTTTCCAAAGAGTACATTATGGAAACAAGAAAAAGTAACTGTCTGGATAAGCCTGACAAACATTACTTCAGGCTGATCATGGTGAGCATCAAATGATGTCATGTTGGCAATAGGTACCTGTGATATGACGTGATAAGAATAGCACATTACCTCAGTGATCTTCTTTCCTAAA